GGTCCTTGGGACGGAAGAGCCACCGCTGCTAGCGAAGCCCCACCCAAGCTCTGGGGATAAAAGGCAGGGGGTGGAGATGAATAGATATGACAGACAACTATTTATCTCCCTGCCGGACAGACTTGTTAGCCTGCGGTGAGAAAGAAACTTTTTGCCGGGGCTGCTGGCGTGCCTAATAAAGGAATCGTTGCTTTAACTACAGAGGGCTTGTCGTGTTTGGGAGCCGGGTCAGAATTCTGCCATTTCCTGAGAGAAGGCAGATTAATCTAGTGAGATTCTTGTAACATGGAGATCAACAACACACGAACCTATTTGACCCATTCTTGGGAGTCTCTTCTGGTTAGTTGTGTCTGAGATCAGGGATCCCACTGCAACCTTCTGAGCGGCTCACCTTGAACTGGGTAGGGGCGTTGAGCTCGCACTGAATCGTATCCAGCTGCACGCGGAGTTGCTCCTCGTCCGCTTGGATGGCATACCCGCTTTTCCTCTGGATCTCTTGCTTGATTAACACCTGCAACAAATATTTTTTAAAAACTTATTACTCGTCTCAGAAGATGTATTGGTGAAGTTCCCAGAAGATGACCTAGATGTGTAAAGTGTTGCCAGTATTCTGTAAACTTGTAAAGTGTTGCCAGTATCGTGCAAAGAAAGGTCATCCTTTGGGAAAGCAGGGAGAACCTGGCCCATGTTTGTTCCGATGGAACTCCATCCCACAGGCATTCCAAGGACGTTGTGGTGGAATCTCCAGCTAGGGGCGGGGGGAAGGAGTAAAAAGACTGAGGAGCTTGGAGGGAAGGAAGTAATGGAGGCCAGACATCGCCCCCCCTCCCCCCAAGGATTCCTGAAACCTTTATGTGACAGTTCCCAAGAGAACAACATTGTGAACTGACCAGAATTGCTTCCCTATTGTGACTTGCCTGTTTGCAGGAATCTTACCAGACTGAGTACATTCTACTGGTAGAATAGAATATGTAGAGCTCAGGGTTGAGCTATGGGGTCCTTGGTGCTCTCTAAGCTAGGATGACTTCTTGCAGACATTTCATTACCCAACTAGGGAACATCATCAGGGCTAGTATAGTAGTAGTTAGACTTATATACCGCTTCATAGGGCTTTCAGCCCTCTCTAAGCGGTTTACAGAGTAAGCATATTGCCCCCACAATCTGG